GTAGAAGGTGTGGTCTTCTTTATAGAACTTCTCCAGCATCATGCAGAATTTCTCAATTTCCTGTTCATCATTGTTGGATGTTGGTGCATAGACAAAGATAGATACTGCTGGCAGTAAACCACATCTATTCAAGCATAAGCATCTGGTTCAGGATGTTAGGTATTTGTATGAAACAATGCTCACGGCCAGGTTGGTTTTGAAAACATCAACGAGGAATACAATCAACTGGTCCAGCACCTCCATGATTGTGCGAGGAATGACGAGAAGAAAGAACCACAAAAAGATTCCTGTCTTCGAAAACTCTCGAACTCATTAGCCAATGTCATTTGGCGTGCGCCTCAGGTTACCACAAGCTAATGTCCAAGCCCACAAAACTGCAGAGAAGCAGTAAAGGAATACCTCAAAGAGAGAAGAGCAACAGTGAGAACATCATGTGATGACTGGAATGGGAAGGAATGGGAGTAAAGATAGATGGTCAGCAAATACACCACCTCCACTTCTCTGATGACATCATTCTAATAACACCAAACATTATCCAAGCGACACAAATGCTGGCCAAATTCAGCTGTGAGTGTGGAACAGACTGCAGCTGAATCTCACGAAGACAATGTTTATGAAAAATGGACAAGTTCCTGTTGTTTCATTTTCTCTCAACAGAATGAACATCTCCAAATGCAGCAGTTATATGTACCGAGGTCGAGAAGTCAACATGACGAACTACCTGGTACCTGAGCTACACAGGAGGAAGAGAGCAGCATGGAATGTCTTCAAAAGCATCGCAGAAATAGCTAAGAGAACGAAGAACCTCCGGCTCTCGGCACATCTCTTCAACTCCATCATTCTTCATGCAATAACATATGCCTCAGAGACCTGGGCCATATGAAAACAGGATGAGAACTCTATTTGGGTCACCCAAAGAGGAACTGAAAGAGCTATGCTTGGAGTATCACACTTCACTCAAGTGAGAGAAGGTATCTGGAGTTCTGACCTTCGTTGAAGATCAAGAATCAGGGAGGCTGTCTCATTTGCCAGGAATCGAAAATCAGATGGGCTGGACATGTAATGCTATTTGGAGATGATCGCTGGACTAGAGCTGTTACAGACTGTATTCCACATGATGTCAAAAGAATGGGTGGCTGCTCCCCTATGAAGTAGTCAGACTTCTTCAAAACCCTAAATGAATGGTTTGAGGGACTAGAGCTGTTACAGACTGTATTCCACATGATGTTAAAAGAATGGGTGGCTGCTCCCCTATGAAGTAGTCAGACTTCTTCAAAACCCTGAATGAATGGTTTCAGGCTCTTTTTGTTCCTGGAGGAAGCAGACGATATTGGGCTGCAGTAGCACGAGACAGGGATGAATGGAGACATTACTGGCTCTTGCTCGAGCAAATCTATGAATCATGAGGTTTTGAGTGGTAAAGGGAAGAAAGTATTTGAGACAGAGGAATCAGCAAGTGCAAAAGCAGAGAATTTCTATTATAAAGTAAAATCCAATGGAGGGATGAAGGCAGGCATGCTCAGAGGAGGGCAGAATCCACCGAGGCCTGAAACAGTCTGGATTAAATACACTTAGAGAGTCAAATAATGAAGGGACAAAATATCCATGATGTTAAGATGCAGGCCTATCTACGAATTGTCAGGCTTAGCTAAGAATCAGTGTGACACCCACCATTTTCCACCACAAAACCACCTATTAAATCCTGCTTTTTTAAAAATAGTTTCACATGAATATATATATATATACATATATATATATATACATAACATCATAACATGTGAGAAAATTAGCACTGTAGCATTGTCCTCCCATTGTTCATCGATTTGCTTGAGCGGGCACCGATAACGTCTCATAACAAATTGTGAGAATTGTAGTTACTGTTTTTGGCATATCGAATACGACACAGGTAGCTTGCCAGGCCTGCCATGTGGACAAGATACTCTCAGTAGCTTGCCACGCTCTCCAAGAGGGGTGGAGGAAATGAACCCGGGTCAGCCATATGAAGGCAAACACCTACTCACTGTACTATCACTCCAGCCCAAATACTCAATGCGTGTTAAAAATTCTACATTTAATGTTTAATATTTTTCATTTATATATAAGAAGAATGAGAGATAAAAATGACCACAAGAAATAATTATTTTAGTAGTTAAAATTCAATGAAATTCTCCTCCAAAGAGATTCCCATTAAGTTTTATATGCTGATGTCTTAAAAGCATGACTTCAATTTTCCTGCAATTTAACACTAAACTTTCAGACACATTGTCTTTGGTGTTAATTATCTTTTACAATCTACACTAAAGCAGTTATTTGATTATTGATTTATTAAAATATATATTAGCACCTGCTATATATAAATAACTTTTGTATTGTGTATTCAGCAATTAGCCAAAGAAATCTTTTTTTGGGGGGTGGGGTCACACCCAGCATTGCTCAGGGATTCCTTTTGGCTCTGCACTCAGGAGTTACTCCTGGCAGTGCTCACGGAACTGTATAAGATACTGAGGATTGAACCAGGGTCAGCCGCGTGCAAGCAAATACCCTACCCACTGTGCTATCACTCCAGCCTGAAAGCCAAAGAAATCTTTAAAAAACAAACTGGAAAAAAGTAAGCAAATGTACAACTTTTATCTCGCCCGCACGACAAAACCTTGCAAGCTACCCGTGACGTATTCAATATGCCAAACACAGTAACAACAAGTCTCAAAATGGAGGCGTTACTGGGCCTGCTCGATTAAATCGATGAACAACGGGATGACAGTGTTTGTTTTTTGTTTGTTGTTATTAAAAATAATATGGACACGAGGAAGAAAAACTGGCAAGATTTGGGACATTGGAGGATCACAAAGTCCTATCTGACAAGGTCAAATTTTACCAGAGACATGAGTGACCTAAAGGAATGAGGCATAAATATTTCCTTCTCTGTCCTTCTCCCTAACTTCTGGGGTCCTAGGTGATCTAGACATCCCCCTTTACTACATTACTTTCTTATCCAGTTATTCTATATACCAAGATAAGTGAGATTTTGTGTTTGTCTTTCCTTTTCTGTTTTACTTCCTTCAACATAATATTCTCCAGTTCCAACCAGGTTGCTGCAAATTGCTTGAGTCATCATTTCTTGCAGTTGTGTAGTATCCTATTGTGTATGTATTCATATCTTCAGATTCCATTCATCCATTGTTGATTGCAAACTATTGTGTGAAGTACAGCAATAAATGATGATGTACATATATCCTTTTGAATGACTGTCCTGTTGGTAGATGCCCAAAAGTGAAATTACTAAATCACATGGCAGCTCAGCTCTAAGTTTATTGAGGATTTTTCATACTGTTTTCCACTGTGGCCCTGAAAGAATTAAGTGAGGATTAAAGGTACAAGGGATTCTCTAAATCTCCCTTTAGCTCTAGGACAGTCCACCTTAGGTTTCTGGAGGCGGGTTCATCACTCTTTCCTGAGATTGGTCACTACAGCTGAAAGACCCACCCAGTGGAGGACCACCCAGTGGAGACCCAACCAGTGGAGACCGACCCAGTGTTCTTTAAATGAGCTGGCTGGCTCAGAGACCACGCACTACTATTGCCAAGGCTGCCCTCACATAGCGTCCAGAAATCCACTGCAGACTGACCCCAGAGGAACTCAAGACCTTTACAACTGGCCAACCAGGTAAGCATGGGATTGAGACAATGTGGGGAGGCAGAACTTTGAAGGGACACATACTCTGGAGATTTCTGACCCTGCAAAAAAAAAAAAAATCTGCACCTATAAAGGAAAAACAGCCTCTTTTCAGTTTACTGGAAAAGACTTTCCATCCATTACGAATTCCAGTTCCTCCTCCTTTCTCTTCTTTATCACGTATATTCTTGCTAAATTCAGATAGCAGTTTTCAACCTGACCTAGATCAGACACAGTGGAGGAATGTGATGGACGGCTGTGGGACTGGGGATGCAGAGGGAACACAGTGACTGACACCTGGTATGTGATAAACCATCGGAAGGAGCTGGTTTGAGTCACCAGTCGAATCCCCTAGAAACACTCAGTAAGGAATATCAGACTGGAGGTGACTTTGGGATAGAACTAGACAGTAATGGGTACTTTGTCAGTGAGAACACTGACTTTGTATTCCAATTTCATAGCTTTCCACAGTTGTAATATTACATTAACCTTGCTTATCTAAAGCATAACATTTTTATCTTTAAAGAAAGGGCCATAGAGGCATCACAAGATAGCACAATTGCCTTGTATGCATCTACCTATGGTTTGATCCAAGGCTTCACATAAGGTCTCCATGGCACATACACATAGACACACACACACACACACACTCACACACACACACACACAGAGAAAGAGAGGGAGAGAGTGATAGAGAGAAACAGAGACAGAAACAGAGACAGAGAGAGAGAAAGATAGAGAGAGACAAAGAGACAGAGAGAGAGATTGGAGTACAGTTTTGAATTGAAGTAAAAAAGGAAATCACTAACATGGAAATTGGCTTGTCAAGAGTGTGGTTAGAGACACATTAGTAGTTTTCTTTGAACATAATTGTTTTTATATCAATTTTTATCCCAATGTACCATCACCCATATTGCATCCTCAGTTAACAGTTTTTGAACAATATAGCAGGGTTAATTTAACTGGGGGTTGCCTATTTTCTTGCTTTGTTCCTTTATAATCCATATATGAATGAAATAATGTTCATTTTTTCTTTTTTTTAATTTGTTCTCTGGCATCGATCTGTGCTAAGGGTTTAAACTGATTTTTGAGCATCTATCTGTGTTCAGGGTTTACTCCTGCCTCTGCACTCAGGGATTACTCTCAGCTGGTTCCCTGTGACCAAGTGGGCTTCTGAGGATAAAACTCTTATCAGACACATTCAAGGTTAGTTCCTTACTCACCTTACTCTCTCCCAGCCCAATTGTCATGTTGCTTCTGACCTTAGAGTGGGTGGAGAACCAGAACTTTCTCAAAGGAACTTCGTCAGCTAACCCTATTCCTGAACAATGGCATTTTCAGCTTCCCTGACTGAGATCCCAGCAGAGGCCAGCTGCCCTCGCTGTCTGGATTACCTGAGAGAACCAGTGACCCTTGAGTGGGGGCACAACTTCTGTGACTCCTGCATCCACCAGTGCTGGGTTGACCTCCAGGACGTCTTCCCGTGTCCCGTCTGCCTCCGCCACTGCCCTGACAGGAACTTCAAGAGGAACAAACAATTGTGTCACATCACAGAAGTCCTTAAGCAGCTCCCCACTGGAAGGAGCAAAAGGAAATGGCAGGCAGAGGAACCCCTGTGTGAGAAGCACAATGAGGCCGTGGACCTGTTCTGTGAGGAGGACCAGGAGCTGTTGTGTCCTCAGTGTCGAGTTTCCACTCACAACCAGGGTCACCACCTGATCCCCACTGACAGAGCTGCAGAGAGTCAAAGGAAGAAGCTCAAAGGATTCATAGAACTTCTGAAGACAAAGATGAGCGATGCTAAGAAGGAGTGTGAAAATCAAATTGCACAGAGTGTGGGAGGGAGGTGGAAGATAGCGTCTTGGAAAGGAGAACTACAAGCTGAACTTGAGCAATTCAAACTTTCCTTGAGAGACGAGCAATTTTCAATTCATGCCAGCTTGCTCAATAGGGAGAGAGAGATGGAAGAAAAGATAGCGCAGAATAAGAGTCAAATTTTAAGCAGTATGGACACGGTGAAAAATCTCTTACGTGACATAACAGAGAAGTGTTTGCAGGCTGACCAGGATTTACTAGCAAGTGTTGAGAACCTTCAGAGTACGTATGAAAACCTTCCCTCCCCTGCCGTCTCCTCATGTGAATCCAAAATAGAGAGCTATGCTTTCCTCCCCATTAGCACAGCGGGTAGGGCGTTCGCCTTACAAGCGGCCAACATGGCCGACCCGAGTTTGATTCCTCCGCCCCTCTCGGAGAGCCCGGCAAGCTACCGAGAGTATTCGATATGCCAGACACAGTAACAACAAAGTCTCCAATGGAGACGTTACTGGGCCCGCTCGAGCAAATCGACGATCAACGGGAGGGCCTTTACCTTTACCTATGTTGTTCTGCACAAAATGATGAGCAAATTCCAGGATCATAAGACTGCCCATCCAAGTCTGACTGTCTCCAAAGATAGAAAAAGAGTCAACCTTATAACAAGTCTCCCACTCCTGCTGGATCACCCCCATGTTGAGAATACTCCTTTCCTAGGTGAGCTGTGTTGTGAGGCCTTTGATGGAGGCAGGCATTTTTGGCAGGTAGAAGTGAAAGGCATAGGTAAATGTTCCCTCGGAGTGTGTGAAAAATCTTTCTGCAATCATATTTTGACACTTCCCTACTCTGTAAGTGAAATATGGCAATCAGATCTAGCCTTAACTCTCCCTGGTAATATGTGCATTGAACAGCCAGAAAAAAATTTGAGAACACGAATTGGCGTTTTTCTGGATTATGAAATGGGAGAACTTTCTGTTTTTAATATGACTAACAGGTCATGTTTGCTTAGGCTCACTGGTACATTCTCAGAAAAAGTGATACCCTATTTTGCGATTGTACTTTTATCGAATTCTCTTTCAATGTATATCATTAGAGACTAATGATGTGAGCATACTGGAGGATAATGTGGTATGTGCTATGTTTCCTTCCCCTGATGTTGAAACGTTCACTGTAAATAAAGCTTTTCGAACATCTCCTAAAGCCTTCTTCCCCCCTGTCCCCTTTCCTGTTTGCCTGGGAAAACTGACAGGAGAGACTTTTGTATCAAGTGAATCTCTTAAGCCAAGCAAGTCCCTAGAAATGCTAGAATCATCACCGCACCCCAGCCACTAGTCCACAGAACACCTAAAATACTTGTCTTGGGCAACTTCAATCCATTGGCGACCTACTGTGTATTTTTAGCTCATGTGTTTCTAGTTTATTATTTTCCCATAGTTATCTCTGTTTCGAAAATTCCTAGACACTTTCTACTATGCTATTTTGTACTGCATTTGCAGAGTTTTGCTCATTCTCAAGAATTTCTCCAGCTTTTTAAGCTATTTCCTCCATCTAGTTACTGAAATTAAAAAATATACTTATGGGTTGTTCTCCTTAATGTTTTATGTTTTAACCAGGTATAGCCCAAATGTGTGGTAATGAAGCTTATTGTAAGTAATGGTATAAGAAGGCTGGAAGCTAGTATTATTCAGATTTAATTTGGCATATGAGTTTAAGTTCCGGCTGGAGTGAACGCAGGAGTTTGAGCATTTTGCCTTGCCATGGTCGACCCAGGTTCAATTCCTCTGCCCCTTTCAGAGAGCCTGGCAAGCTACTGAGAGTATCCAGCCCTCACAGCAAAGCCTGGCAAACTCCCCATGAAGTATTCGATATGCCAAAAAAAAAAAAATAAGAACAAGTCTCATAATGGAGACGTTTCTTGTGCCGGCTCGAGCAAATTGATGAACCACAGGACTACAGTGCTATTCATTTAAATTAAATTTTGCAATGAAATTAGAAATATTCTTTAAGTATTATCTAACAGATAAGAGTTATCTTGTGTTCAGCAGGATAAAGTTTTTCCACAGGCACTGATGTGGCCCTCAGGGGATGTGAGGAGACAGTTACAGGGCAAAGGGCACAGGCCAGGACAGCATACACAGGGTGGAATGGGTGAAGTTTTGGAATGAGAAAATTATTCTAGGAAAGAAGCAGGAAGTAACTAATTGATGAGGTTGACATGTCAATCAAAATATAATTTCCATACTAGATAGAAAACAATATCACAGGCCTCCAGACGTCCCTGAAAACGGTTGATTGTGAAGATCATGGGATTTGTATATCACTTATACTTTCTAGGAGAAATTGATATTTCCTAGTAAAGACTTCTGGATTTCAGTTTGATCCTATCAAACATTGAACAGAGATACAAGAAGTCAGGGAAAGCCCTAAAAGTGCAAAGATCACACGTGTTCACAGCCCTGGCTGCGGAACTTCATTTTCTTGGTTTTGGTTTTCGTTTTTGGTTTTCCTTTGGGGTGATACTCAGCTGTGCTCAAGGTGTACTTCTGGCTCTGTCCTAAGGTATCTCTCATGGTGGACTTGAAGGAAAAACTATATGGGGTTGGTGCAAGGCAAATGTCCTACCTGCTGTATTCTGCCCCACCCCTTCATTTTATTGTTGGGGAGTCCCTACCTTATAACCTGAACTTTTGTGTGTTCTCTCAGCTCAGCTCCAGGCCAACCCTGCACTGCCTCTACTCAGAGAGACCTGAGGTCTTTGCTGGTTGGAATCTGAATTGTCCCACCCACTTTGTGAAAATTCCATCATGGTTATCACAGGATTTCACATCTACAGTTATAGGCCAGAATGTATTTTAACCAATAACGCTGGCCTTACACGCAAACCCATATTCAATTTCTGTCACCTCAATTGTATACCAGGCATTGCCAAGAGGGATCCCTAAGAACAGAATGCAGGAATAAGCCCTGAGCAATGCGAGGTGTGACCCCCAAACTACTTTATATTTATATTCATATAATACCCCCCAAATCATCTTCCTTTTTAAAGTAAAATTTCTATATAGAGAGATTATGAAGAATGAAAGAGGAGAATACCTCATTCAGAGAAAACATGGGCTTCTATGGAGGACAGAACTGGGAGCGCAATATCAGGTTTGAGACGCAGGGGAAGAGTAGTTTCATAAATGTTATCCTAAGCTGCCCCCAGATGGAGCTTTATGCCTACAGAAAAATCAGTCCATTGCACAAAGGCAGAACTGCAGACCAATGGAACAGGTTTGAATACACTGACATCTCCCCTCAACCATGTGATCATCTAATCTTCGATAAAGGTGCAAGAAATGTGAAGTGGAGTAAGGAAAGCCTCTTTAACAAATTGTGCTGGCATCACTGGACGGCTACATGCAAAAAAAATGGGCTCAGAACTCTGCCTAGCACCATGTACAAAAGTAAGATCAAAATGGATTAAAGACCTCAACATCACAGCAGAAACCATAAAGTACATTGAAGACAAAGTTGGCAAAACCCTCCATGACATTGAGGCTAATGGTATTTTCAAAGACGCCACGCCACTGGCTGAGCAAGTGAAAGCAGAGATAGAAAAATGGGACTATCTTTAACTAAGAAGCTTCTGCACCTCAAAAGAAACAGTGACCAAAATACAAAGACAGTCTACAGAATGAGAAAGGATATTCGCCAAATACACATCTGACCAGGTGTTGATATCAAGGATATACAAAGTACTGGTTCAACTCCACAAGAAGAAAACATCGAACCCCATCAAAAAAATGAGGCAATGAAATGAACAAAAACTTTCTCAAAGAAGAAATCAGAATGGCAAAAAAACACATGAGGAAATGCTCTACATCATTAATTATCAGGGAGATGCAGATCAAAACCACAATGAGATACCATCTCACACCTCAGAGACTGGCCCACATTCAAAAGAACAAAAGCAACTGATGCTGGCGCGGATGTGGCGAGAAAGGGACACTCCTTCACTGTTGGTGGGAATGCCGACTGGTTCAGCCATTTTGGAAAACAATATGGATGATTCTCAAAAAATTAGAAATTGAGCTCCCATTTGACACTGCAATACCACTCCTGGGAATATATCCCAGAGAGGCAAAAATGTATAGTCGAAGTGACATCTGCACTTGTTTGTTCATTGCAGCACTCTTTAAAATAGCCAGAAACTGGAAGAAACCTGAGTGCCCAAGAACAGATGAGTGGTTAAAGAAACTTTGGTACATCTACACAATGGAATACTAATACTATGTAGCTGTTAGAAAAGATGAAGTCATGAAATTTATATACAAGTGGTACAACATGGAAAGTATCATGCTAAGCAAAATGAGTCAGAAAGAGAGGGATAGATATAGAAAGATTGCATTCATCTGGGGGATATAAAGTAACAAGATATGAGATTAATGCCCAAGAATAGCTGAGATCAGCACCAAGAGGATTACTCCATAGCTTAGAGGCCAGCCGGGCATTCTAGGGAAAAGGGCAGCTCAGATAGAGAAGGGAGCACCAAATAAATGGTGTTTGGAGGATCCTCCCAGGAGGGGAGATGCATGTAGAAAGTAGACTATGGACTGAACATGTTTGCTACTCAATGCCTCTTTTGCGGACCACAACACCCAAAAGGAGAGAGAGAACAAAAGGAATGCCCTGGCATAGAGGCAGGGTGGGATGGGGGGGATGGGGGTGGGAGGGATATTATCCATGGTGATGGAAAATGGGCAGTGATGGAGGAATGGGTATTTGATCATTGGATAATCGAAACCCAAGCGCAAAAAATTGTAAATCTACAACTATACCTCATGGTGTTTCACTAATTAAAAAAAAATCAGTCCATTGCTGTGGTCTTTCTTGTCAAGAAGAGCCTTAAATTTTGATGATCATAAATGCTTCTCACAATTTTAGACATGCTCGGGCACTTTTCCAAGGGGTCCAGGATCCTATAGGTCTGTACTGGTGTCAATTAAAGTCTTATCTGCCTTACTTCCTGTGACCAAAAAATGGTTCTGTTCTTTAAAACTTGCTCATTTATGACTAGTGAAAGTTACTTCTTCAATCTCATCTTGACTGTATTAATTCTAAAGAACTCATTGCCAGTATACACCATTCCTCTTTTTTCTAAAAAACATGACAATAGAATGGACCCATAGAATAGCTGGTGGGGTATTTGCTTTGCACACACTGTCCCAGGTTCAATCCCTACGATCCTATCTGGTCCCATGTGCAGTCAGGAGTAATTTCCAAGAATAGAGCCAAAAGTAAGCCCTGAGCATCACCTGCTGTGGCCACAAAAATAAATAAATAAATAAATCACTGTCACGGTCCTCCCATTGTCCATCAATTTGCTCTAGCAGACACAGTAAAGTCTCCATTGTGACACTTGTTACTCTGTTTGGCATATCAAATACGTCGCGGGTAGTTTGCCAAGCTTTTTTTGCAAGCGGGATACTCTCAGTAGCTTGCCGGGCTCTCTGAGAGGTGTGCAGGACCCAAATCGGCCACGTCAGCCGCATGCAAGGCAAATGCCCTACTCACTGTGCTATCGCTCCCGACCTTTACATAACAGTAGGAAACAGAAATTAAAAAAAGGAATGAGTATAAGACCTTTCTCATATTATAAAAGGAAATATGACTCAATCCATGCTCCAGGTGGATGCTAGTCTTCAAGACTGTGCTGTATGCTGTCAGAGGAATAGAACGAACCAGAGCCTTCAGTTCTTTCCTCAACTTTCTGTACATGAATCATTCAGTACCTAACATGACCCAAATTGAGTTGCTCTTTCTGCTGGCAAAGGATTCACAAGTAAAACTTCCTTCTAGGAAGTTGGAGTGAAGGGTGATTATTTACAGGTGTGTTGTGGACATAATACAGGCAAATAGACACGTGGGGGCAGCCATTAATGAGGTTTTCCTCTGAAAAGGAAGTCTACCTAATCACATTCCCTATTGCTGCTCCAAAGCAGGACTATTGAACACCTCTGAGGTGGAAAGACTCAGCACCTTAGAGTGGGAGGGAAAACAACGTGAGCATTTTGGAGCGGTAGTGAACTTGGCCAGGTCAACCAGCCTGCCCAGCTGGGCAATGGCACTGACACTCTTCTCCTGGTGGGGCTGCCCGCAGACAGGGCAATAGTATCTGTCCTGCATGTCCTTTCGTGAGAGGCTTATGCAGGAGTCACAGAAGTTGTGCTCCAAGTCGATGATGACTGAGTAGTCCAGGTAGATGGGACAGATGAGCTCTGCCTGCATTTTGGCCAGTGTTGCCAACACCTCCATTCTCAGCTGTGGGAAGGGCAGAACTGGAGTTTTATTCCTCACAAGGCAGAGCTCCTTGGGCTCTCTCTTGCCAGGAGGAGAAAAAGGTATTTATATAACAAGGCTCAAATAAATTATTATTATTATTATTATTATTTTTCTTTTGGGGGTCACTCCCGGCAATGCACAGGGGTTACTTCTGGCTCTGTGCTCAGGAATTACTCCTGGCAGTGCTCACAGGGCCATATGGGATGCAGGGAATCGAACTTGGGGCAGCTACGTGCAAGGCAAAAGCCCTACCCGCTATGCAATTGCTCCAGCCCCAAATAAAACATTTCTGAGTGGGGGAACTGCAAAAGTGTGTGACATCTGATTCGTAATTTTGTTTGTAAGTGTAGCAATATATTAATAACAAATTCAGATCTTTGTTTTTATAATTATTTATTTATTTTATTATTTGGTCCTTATCAAACTGGGCAAAGTGGATAATCCTTGATCCATGCTCAGAGGAAACTGCTAAAGTGTTACAGAATTGAGGAAAACTGGTGAAATACACATATTCTCTAAGAATAAACAACCTGTGTTAAAAATAAGCCAAAAGTCCCAGGGACCTCCCACCTCCCAGGTCTAGTAAAACTGGATCAGAAAAGTTTGCAATGTCTTTGACAATAACATGTTGAGGAAAGGAAGTATAACTTATTAACCATTAAATTTTTATTTTATTAGAAATAGACATAAAGCTATAAAATAGTTGGCATTAAAAATTACAAAGAGTTACAAAATGGGAACAGTTCTTCACATCAACCTTAACCATCGACACCTAATGCAAAGAATTCCAAATTTACAAGAACACAAGCTGACTACATGATGCATGGGGGAAGCCCAGGATATGCTCACCCATCCTCAGCCCCACCAGCGCCCACAGAGAGAGGGGCGGAGTCGGGCCCCAAGCAGAAGTAGGGCTTGAGCTCTTGAGCAAAGGGCTCGGTGAACGAGTGCAGGTGAGACCCGTCGGCGAAGTTGTAGAAGGAAAGCTGGCCCAGCTCCCAGTCCAGGTAAACGCCGATAGCCGTGGGCTGGTCCCTGAGAGCCAGAGGCACAGCCCCGCACTCATGGCCAGGTAGTCGCCGTCCTGCAGCTGCAGCGTCCAGCATCTCTTGGGAGCCGCCAGAGGCCGCGAGGTCTGCGCAGAAGGGACCACGCTGCACACGCCCACGGCCCACTCGGGCTTGGCACCCACCTGCACCTCCCAGTAGTGGCAGCCAGAGGCGAAGCCCTCCCGGCCCAGGACCACCAGCTGGGCGGTGTCATCCCAGGGCCAGGGGTCGCCATCCCCTTTGGACCTCTCCCTCACGCAGGTCACCGACTGGAGGTCCTGGGACACGCGCAGGCTGGGGTGGGCCGTGTCGGGGTCCAGGCTGATGCGCTCTCGGAATCTCCGGATGATGCTGTTGAGCAGCGAGTGCAGAGGAGGAAGGCTGTAGGCCACGGGCCAGAAGCACAGGGGCTGCACGGCCGGGGGCTGCAGGCCCGCACAGCACTGCTGCAGGCCCCTCACGCCCCTCAGCACCATCTCCTCAGACATCACGCTCCGCTCTGCCACCTCCCGTCTGAGGTCCTTCAGCTCCGAGATGTGGTCCGAGTAGGCCTCCAGGTTGGCCCTGAGCTGCTGCTGCAGGCGTTTGTCCTCTTCTGTCAGCCTGCAGAGCGCAGCCTCGTGCTCACGCTCCACAAACTGGGTGAGCTGCTCAAATTCCAAGGCCAGCTGATTCCTGTGCTTTCCCATGTCCTCTCTCAGCTGCAGGATGTTTCTGTCTTGGGCGACTTCTAGCTTCTGCAGCTCTACCAGCTGCTTCTTCAGGGACTTGATGCAGTCACCAAGCCTCTGTCTGTGATGAGCCGCTGCCTCGCCTATGGACCTGACCTGGTGGCCCTGGTGGGTAGGGCCCTGGGCGCACTGGGGACACACCAGCTCCTGGTCATCCTCGCAGAAGAGGCTCACTCCCTGCCTGTGCTCCTCACACCTGCCCTCCTCTGCCACTGCCATCTCGCTGCTCCTGGAGCTGTGCAGGAGCTTGGCCAGGTCCACCAGCCTGCCCAGCTGGGCGTTGGCACTGACGCGCATCTCCTGGCGGGACTGCGGGCACACGGGACAAGGGAATGTGTCCTGCAGTTCCTTCGATGACATGTGGATGCAGGAGTCGCAGAAGCTGTGGCCGCAGTCGATGGTGACAGGGTCATTGATGTAGTCCAGGCAGATGCGACAGATGAGGTCTGGCTGCATTTTGGCCAGGGCTTCCCACACCTCCATCCTTGGGTGTGGGAAAGTGCAAGTCGGGGGTGATTTTCCTCAGAAAGTTGAAACCCTCAGGCTCTCTCCTGCCAGGAAAACAGTTACACACTCAGTCATTGTCCTGAACTCAATATGGGTTTCTAAGGGATGTGTCTCTCTGATAACCAGAACACTTCTAACTCAAGGGCTTCTCCAAGTTTACTCTCCTAAGACCAAAGGAATTGCTCGTGCATTAAGGTCCCTCGTGCATTAGGGTCCCCTGTTTCAAGTAATATTGCTCCACAGGTGTCAAGTCTCCGTGAATGGGAAAATGACCCCATTCATATTAGAGGAGGAAAGGGAACTTAATTCTGGGACTCAGTATAAGGAAGATAGACACCAGATAGTCAGAAAGTTGCCCTCTAGAACCTCACACAGTGAGCACAAAGGAAATTGTGGGAGCTAAGCTCTGGTCCAGCAAGAAACACAACCCCCCTTCCCTCCCCATCCCCACTTTGATCTCTCTGCCCCACCCCTGCTCTACATAAGGCAAAACCCCTGATTGATCACTACTCACCTTGGTCCTGATTCTGGTCCTGCACAGTGCTTGTTGCTGTTGGTGAGCTGCTCTCCTTGCAGGATGCAGACTTCAGCCTGGCAATGCTTGCCCTGAACTCAGCACAGCATTTATATACATCCTAGGGTAGGGCTCAGGAGAACCACCCTGAGATAGGGTGGGGCTGGATTAAAGGATTTTCAGAGAGGGAAGTGATTCCCCAGAGCTCTATTTTGTCACAAGGAATGCCATGTTCAGGGAACTAGCTTTCAGGGGAAGCAAGCCCTTCTTCAATTGTCTTCATGTTCCACATCCCATTCTTGTTGAGGAAAAGTAGAAATGATAAAAAAACTAGAAACGGAGCGCTGTTGGCATCAGAGAGATAGTGGAGGCTGTAAGGTGTTTGCCAGGTGTAATCCTTGAGCCCAGAGGCAGGCAAGTACCCCCAAGCACTGTAGGGTGTGTGTTCCCACCATAAAACAAATAAACAAAGAGAATACTGAAGTGCCAGACAACCAGGAAGGTTTGTTTGTTTTGCTTAGTTTGGGGTCACAAAGAGCTGGGATCAGGATTTAATCTGGGCTCTGTGCTCAAGGTTTTCTCCTGGCAGGGTTTAGTGTACCTACCATTTGTTTCCAGCAGAGTAAACTGGGTCAGCTGTGTGGAAGACAAGAACGTTGTTCTCTATTATATTGCTGAACTCAGAATTTTTTTTAAAGTTTTTTATTAGTGAAACACCATGAGGTACAGTTATAGACTTACAAATTTTTGTGCTTGGGTTTCAGTTAGTGCTGGAGCGATAGCATAGCGGTTGGGCGTTTGCCTTGCAAGCAGCTAACATGGCTGACCTGAGTTCGATAGCTCTGCCCCTCTCGGAGAGCCTGGCAAGCTACTGAGAGTATCTTGCCTGCAGGGCAAAGCCTGGCAAGCTAACCGTGATGTATTCGATATGCCAAACACAGTAACAAGAAGTCTCACGATGGAGACGTTACTGGGCCCGCCCGAGCAAATCGATGAACAACGGGAGGACCGTGACCATGGGTTTCAGTTATACAATGATCAAGTACCCATTCCTCCACCAGTGCCCATCCATCACCACCACGGATCCCAGCATCCCTCCCACCCCCATCCCCCCATCCCACCCTGCCTCTGTGGCAGGCATTCCCCCTTGTTCTCTCTCTCTTCTTCTGGGTCCTTTGTTTTACAAGAGAGGCATTGAGTGGCAATCATGTTTGGTCTACAGTCTACTTTCAGCATGCTTCTTCCACCCTGGGAGGATCCTCACAACACCCTTTACTTGGTGTTCTTTTCTCTATCTGAGCTTCCTTTTCCCCTAGCACGTGTGACTGGCCTTCAAGTCATGGAGCAAAATTCCTGGTACTAATCTCAGCCACTCCTGGGTGTTAGTCTCCCATTTTGTTGCTTTATGTTCCCCAGATGAATGCATTTTTTTTATTTAATTTTAAGATCAGTGTGTTTTAAGTTACCCTGAGAGACTTTTGTGTTATTTCTTTTTATACCACTTTTAGCAGTGCTCAGTGCTTATTCTTCAGTTATCACTCCTTATGGTCTTGGGGAACTCTTTGAGGTCCCAAGATTCTATATGTGTAGGTCACATGCATGACAAGTTTTATCAGTCCTTCCTAGTGAGTTTTAATTTTTTCCCAATAAATCACCAATATTTTACAGTGATAAAGCTTTTCTTTTCTTCTTGATCAATAATATTTTAAGACTTATTTTATGTTAAAGAATTGTCACTCATGAAGAACTTTGTAAACCACTGTGTTTATATAAAGTTTGAAAGGAAATTTGGAAAAACTAAGTAAATAAAGTTAAACAAATAGAATCTTGAAAGAGGGAAAAAAAATCTGAGTCGTCTCATACATGAGGAACGTTGTTGAATAACTGCTAATAAACAATGCAAACGTTTTCATCAATTTCCTTGGTAATCTACAATTCTAATTATCATTCCCATTTAATAAAAATAAAAAAAATATCGCGTGCTAGTGTAGCCCAATGGCATCTGCTCGCTCCAGGAACATGAAGAGCCTCAAACAGACCTGACCATCTCATAAGTGGGCAGTCACTCCGTCGTTTGACGTCCCATGGAATCCATTTGGTAACAGCTCTATTCCAGTGGTCCCATGCATGGTTCATTATCCCTAGCCTTTTGAGGATTATCTCTGTGCTGAGATATCAGGTTCGGCTTTTTAGAGAATTATTTAGGATTTTTTTTTTCTTTTTGGGTCACACCCGGTGAAGCTCAGTGGTTACTCCATACGGGATGCTGGGAATCAAACCAGCATCGGGTGCGTGCAAGGCAAATGCCCTACCCGCTGTGCTCGAACCCCTCAGAGAATTACTTAGACTTGCAGCATTCTATGAGCACACAGAGCTTTTTGGTTATCAACAAAATGGTGATTATTTGGTTTCTCTTCAGCTGCTTCTGACATTTTGACATTTCTATTAAAAGGAAGGTTACATAGAAAATGTTCAGGAAACAAAACCAAGTTCTTTCGAAACTCAAAAAAAAAAAAAAAAACTACAAGTTATTTTCTAACATCGCATTTTTCAGGTTTCACAAATGTGCTTGTAGCATCTACATTTTTCCTACTAGTTTCATTTCTTAGAAATTCTTGAGTTTAGTATGTTACAAGTTCCATGCTTTTCTCACATTGAAAAGAAAGTTCTTATTTTTCCTTTTTTTCCCCATTTTGTTACAAAATGGGGCTGGAGAGATAGTATAGCGGGTAGGGTGTTTGCCTTGCATGCGGCCGACTGGCTGACCAGAGTTCAATTCCTCTGCCCCTCTCAGAGAGCCTGGCAAGCTACAGAGTATCTCGCTCACATGGCAAAGCCTGTCAAGCTCCCTGTGATGTATTCGATATGTCAAAAACAGTAACAACAAATCTCACAATGGAGGCATTACTGGGCCCCCTGGAGCAAATCAATAAACAACGGGAGGACAGTGACAGTGACAGTGATACATATATAATTATTATATAATAACAATTTTTAAGTGCACCATGCGTTTTGGGATAAAAACATTCCAAAAATAAAAGGTTTTAGAAAATATGTCAAGTAATTTTATGAGCTCATGATCAAGAATAATCAACCTCTTACCAAAATGTGTTTCTTTTTATGGAGTCAGAGAGAGAGAATACAGTGGGTAGGGCGTTCACCTGCATGAAGCTCACCAGCGTTGGTCCCTAGTACCAATTAATCCTATTCCACATATCCCTAGTCCCCATCAAATATGAACCTGAGCACAGTGCCAGAGTTAAGCCTGGAGCACTGCTAATTTGGGGTGAAAGCAATCAAACAAAAAATATATTAAGAAATGAAATAAAATTGATTATTTTTTTATTTGTTTTCTTTTTGGTCCATACCTGGTGATGCTTGAGTGGGCCCAGTAACATCTCCATTGTGAGACTTGTTGTTACTGTTTTTGGCATATAGAATATTTCCATGTGGCAATAGAAGCATGCTGAAAGTAGACTATAGACTGAACATGATTACCACTCAATGCCTCGTTTGTGGGCCTAGTGTCCCTACCAACCAATCAAATTCATAAAATCCCTCCATCATTTCAACCCCTTCCTACAGTCCATTAGTCATTCCTGGATGAGTCTCTCCAGCTCCACCACTGATGTATATAAACACACTGCTGGGTGAAGAGCAAACAGTGCCCAATGCAAGGCTGAAGTCTGCATCCTGCAAGGAGAGTAGCTCTCCCGTAGCCTCAGGCACTGTGCTAGGCCAGTCAGGACCAAGGTGAGTAGTGATCAATTAGGTGTTATGGGGGACTGGAGTGGGGTATTGAAATTAACCAGATAATACTTTATACTAGAACCCAGAGTTGAGTGACCACTCCTGTGATGTGAATGAGGTCATTTGCTCATCACAGAGAGCTGTGCTGTGAAACAGTATCAGGTGAAACAGGGGACCCTAATTTATGAAGGCCCAGAAGTTGATGTGCTTATTGGTAAATACCATTTGGAGGGTGTTGAGTCCAGACGTACACTAGATTCTCAGAGACCATCCCTGAGTAAACGAAATTGAATTCAGAACAGAGGTCTGAATAGGTGATATTTTTCTGACCGGAGGACCTGTGGAGCTCTGCCTTGTGAGAAGAAAACACCCTAGTCCTTTCCATACCACACCTGTGGATGGAAAAGGTGTCAGCAGCCCTGGCCAACATGCAGCCAGAGCTCATCTGTCACATCTGCCTGGACTACCTCAATGACCCTATCACAATCTACTGCGGCCACAACTTCTGTGACTCCTGCATCCGCATGTCATGGAAGGACTTGCAGGATACATTCCCTTGTCCTGTGTCCCTGCAATCCCGCCAGGGGTTGCGCATCAGTGCCAACGCCCAGCTGGGCAGGCTGGTGGACCTGGCCAAGCTCCCACACAGCTCCGGGAGTAGAGAGATGGCGTGTGCAGAGGAGGGCAGGTGTGTGGAGCACAGGCAGGGGAT